AACCACTCTGCAAATCCCTAATACTAGTTCCTCAGTAGTAAAAATATATACGAAGAACAAACTGACAGTGTTAGCCACTTCAATGCACCTATATCAGTTCACCTTCTCCTTAGGAGCAAAGTACATAAGCGGTACTTACAGATAGACTGTCCAACCTTCGTGCCAATACCTTGAAGTGTGATTCAGTGAAGGTCAACAGCCCCATTTTACAAAATTTGGTTGGCAGTGGATACAAATTTCTGGAAGATTCGTTTGCACTAGTTTTCCGAAAGGTGTGGACAACACTTTCCTTTGCAATACTGAGGCTGTAGCAATAAAAACATGGAGAGCACAATTCTGTTTCCAGAAGCAACTTCTTAATATTTTTAACTTCCCATTTCTTAAACTTAACAAACCCTATTATGAATCCCAATTTTTTATTACGAAAAAGCTTTTACTCAGTTACCGATTTGTCGTTCTCTTCCACACCAACAACTGTTTACTCATCATGTTACGAGTTCTTCTTACTTATTTACTTACTTACCCAATCACTTACTTACTTACTCAATTGCTCATCTACCCAATTACTTACTTACTTAATTAATTAACTAACTAATTATCCATATTCTCAAATGTATTCATATTTCTATTGTAAATTCCACTGTTATATTATTTTCCTTGGCACGACCCACTAAGAAACGAATATCAACTTATTTTAGCAGCAAACATGCAATTGCACAGCTGCTGAAAATTATATCACAGGGAGTAAATTAGTTCTCTGAAGTCTTTATTCTTTAGTCCAATGTTAAGGAATGTGTGCTAGGAAAGTTTTAATCAGTCCCCTTTGCAATAGTGAATAAAGTTTTCTTAGCCCCGTTGTCATTTGCGAATTGTGTATGGTCCTATCGTTATCGTTAATTTTGCTGTTAGCTATTATTACTGTTGCAATTTGCTTGATGATGGCTAGCAGAGGAATCTAAGACGCACTTTCCTTCCTGTTTGAGACTCGTCAGCTGGACGTACCTGCACCCCAATGAGTGATGTGGTTGGCACTAAGACTTGAAGTAAAGACCCATCTCTTCAAACGCTAATAGGCATAAATAAATAATAGTAATAATAATAACTGATGCCATTGTGCAAAAGGTTACAAAGAGCTAAGTCGCCCCAGTGGCTTAGTGGGTAACGCTTTGGCAATTGAAGGGTTGGGTACTTGGTTCCAGCCCCCGTGGGAACAACATCACTCATTGCGGTACAGGTGTAACCAGCTGACGAGTCCTATATAGGATAAAATGTGCGTTCTGGATTCGACTCTTAGCCACCACCAATCAAGTATAACTGCAAACAATAATCAGGCAATATCGACGTATTCGTATTGGAACCCGTGTACTGCCAAAAGGAGTTGATCAGTTCGAACCAGAACAACAAGGAGAAATTGTAAGTACCAATAAACATTACTACTTCTCTTAATATCTTTGAATAAACACAAATTTCCCAAGATCAAATGTTGAGAACTATGTACTGTGAAAAACAGTTATGATTCAGAATCCAGATTAAGGTCTTTTTATTCTTGTACTCGTCATCAAAGCCAACATTGACAATGAACTAGATAGAAGTAGTCATTTCCTCTTGTTGAATGTGTAGTGCACAGACATCCTGTCAGTGCTTTTCTTCGATAGATGGAACTTTTGCTTCAATTGATTCCTTTCCTTCAGTTTTATTTTTACACTTAAGCATAGACAATTTAGGCTTTGTTGAACCAACACCGGGTGGTTTTTGTATATGGTTAGGGCGATGTTTATGATATCACTCAAAACATTTAGACACATGTGATCCCCTCAAATTCAGTAAAAAAAAAGCGATACAGACAGTTAGGGTATCTAGAAATGCTAATCAATTCTAACATTGGTGGAAAATGTCCAGAATTTACTGCCGATGGTTTACAATATTGAAATGAGAACAGTTGTAGTTCAGGTGCTTGATCTTGGTTGTGTTGCATTCTCTGAGCTGAATAGTTTAATCCTGAAGCTTTCATTGTCTTCATAGACAACATCAGCAGCAGTACAAACTTCAATGTTAATTGACTTATCAGTAACCTATCCTAATGAAGTGATAGGTGATTGGTACTTTCCTTTGACCGTGGTGTCTTTCACCACACAATTTTTTTCTATTCGCTGTTCAATTTACCAAAATCAACTGCATCAACTGTGATCAGCACTATGTTGGACACAGTGGTCACTATCTTCACTATCGTCTACATTAACATTGGTTGGCTACTAAATATCACAACATTTTATCGCTTACATCAATGCATTTGGACAATTATGGACATGAATTTAGTTTTGAAAATGTACATATCTTGGACAGAAGGTGAACAACGAATATCCTTGGAAGCTAAGCATTCATTTCAATCAGCAGTCAACTGGTCTATTGAAATAGGCTCAATCTAATGACCAGCCATAGAAATGACAAACAGCTACAAGGTCAGAGGTCAACCAGAAAAACACTCAGTAGGAAAATCTGCCCAGTTAGTGACATAACTACTAAAATGAACTCTCAGTCACAAATCACTTCTTCATAGCAAACTCCTGAAGCACTCATGAAGAAATCCTGGAAGCTCACTTCATATTGAGGTATAATGATGCTCAAGATGTTGTCTAGACTGACAATGAGAGCTTCATGACAAAACCATGCAGTTCAGCGACCGACACACAATCAAGGTTTACGATATTCAAGAATTTCTGCTGTTTCTAACAAGTAATTATCTAGTCAGAATTTCATTGGATTGTCAAGTCATCCACTTATGTTTTGCTATTCGGCAATCGACACCTTTGTAACATCACTGAGTTGAAGTAGAATTTCTGTTCAGGTATGGCAGAGATTAGGTGACAAGCGCCAAATAAGGGGGGAATATCAGTCTATGAAGTCGCGAATTTTCATCGACTAAGGTTGCCAAGGCGTGTGAAATCCCACTTACCTCGCATACTCTGTGTTAGGAATACAAGAATTTTCTTGGAAAAGTGTAACTCCAACCAGATCAACAAATGTAATCACCTAATGACTCAGCTGACCGTTTGCCGGATGTGTTGACTTATCAAAGCATTCTTGTGACAGACTTGTGAATGGTCTCTTATCCTCCATCAGATTACTATCGTAGTCTAACAAATTGTGCTCATTGTTGAACTATCGAGAAAGAAACTTAGAACTTTGATAGTTCTGTTGAGTGGAATCTCACTAATATTTATTTTTTTTATCATTATTTGTCCCTTGGGTTCCTAGTGGAATATACGAATTCAGTAACAAGTCTTCATTTCACTCTCTTCTCTGAAGTCTTTCCAACCTGGCGCCACGACTGCCCACAAGCTTTCACTTCTTCACACCATCTCCTCCATGTCACACTAAGCTAGGACGCTCAACTCGTCGTTTTCCATCCGGGTTCCACATGAAAGTCTGGCCTAGCGCATGATGGCCCCGAATGGTTTTCTCAGTCTATGCCCAATCCATTTCCACTTCCTTCTGCATATTTGTTGGTTCATTCCCAGAGTTCCTTGTTGCTTATTCTTATTATTCTGGCCATCTGATCTTCAGGAACGAGCATAGGCAGTTGTTGATGAATGTCTGTAGCTTGTCGGAAATGCTTTTCGTAACGCGCCAAATCTCTCAACCATCACATAGAAGCACTGACTCGACTGAATCAGTGTTGAAAATCCGGATGTTGTTCACGCTTTATGCTGAGTGCAGTGCAGTAGATCTCCACACTGGTTTGGGATTAATGAAAACCGGTTTTGCTTTTCCGATACCGGCTTCGACATCCTCATCTGTGCCTGTGCCGTTGTCTGTAGTTGAGACAATGTTGCGCTGCATAGGTAAATGAAAGAGACTACTTCCTTTAAATTTCTCCCATTGATGGTGATTGGTACTTGTTGTTATTATTTGAGTATCTTCATCAGCTTCGTCTTCTCTACGTTCACTTTAAGTCCCGTTTTCGCTACCCTACCTCTTCTGTCCACTTGTTTGTTTTCGCCTCTAGACCTTCAAGTTTGTGCAACAAGGCATTAGACATAAATCATCATTGGCGAAATCCAAATCTTTTAGAGTCTTTTCATCGGTCCAGCCAGCCTATGCCCATCTCCTAGTTCCCCATGATTTGCTGCATGATCCGACCACAATCACGAAGATGACTGGTGGTAGTAGGCGGCAACCTTGTCTTACTCCTGTTATCATTTCAAAGGTATCACTGAGCTTTCCATTGCTGTGTGTATTACTTGGCATGTAGCATCATATAGCGAATAGCTACTATTGAATGAGGTCGGTAAAGACTTGTGGTATTCCGTAGTGTTGAAGCAGTTGCTTGCCAAATTACTTCTCCGTCGACGCTATCGAAGGCCTTTTCAAAATCTATGAAGTTGAGGTAGAGTTGACTGCCATTCTACGCTCTGTTCCATGATGATGCGCAGCGTTGCGATTCGGTCAGCACTTCATGAAGTCAGCCAGCTAACCTATTCCGGTTGCAATTTTGAATGAAGAGCATTTCCAGTCTCTCAAGGATGATGTGGCCTAATATTTTGCTTGAGATGGACAGGGGTGGAGCATGATTCTCGGGGAGTTCTTGCAAAGACTCAGGTCTCCCTTCTTTGGAAGTTGCGCTATACCGTGTGCTAACAGAAGTTCGAAATATGGACCATTGGACTCTGACCCAGTGGCTCAACGGTAACGTGCTGGCCACGGAACCTGAAGGTCGCGGGTTCGATCCCTGGAGGGCGGGCTCGTGGGTGCGCACTACTGAGGAGTCCCATGCTGGGACGAAACAGCTGCCCAGTGCTTCCAGGTTTCCTTTGTTCCTCCAACTGATGTCAGTCTACGATGAATAACAACTTGAAATTCTTAATGAGCTGATTTATAACCGGTGAAAAGCGTTTTAAGGGGGATAAAACATTGGCCCTTAAATGTTAGGTAATCTAAAAAGTATCTTTGACTAAAACACTGAAAACTTGTTATTATCTAGTAAAAGTGAATAAACTTACGGGGTTGTATAATTTCTATTGTTTGAGGTTCCACTCCGCCTCGTTTCCCATCCAATTGATTCCCGTATATTCCTGTAAGAAGAAGAAGAAGAAGTTTGAAATTTAAATCTACAGGCTTGATTAATTAATATTTGTGTTTATACACGTGTCTGCATGCTGAATCTGACAGGCAGAACCAACAAGAGGTGCCGTATTGTTAAATAGTAATTATTAACTGTAATTACCACATAACACCGAACAATGGTGTTCAAAGCTGTTAAAATCTTGAGACTAAGTTACTGGTAGTCAGAACCTATACCTAATCGACAAGTGCATCCACCCATAAACACCTAATCTCACTGTCGATTTCAAGAACTTAATCAACCAATCTCTCCTGGCACATCGATTTCATGTGTAAATGCCTTGATACTGTCTGTAACCGAATCTCTGTTATATTTTTTAGTAACAATGGGATTTCAGTAACAAAGTGATACCCACTGAGCATGGTATGGTTGTTGTAACAGAGTGCTTAAAAAAAATAACTCTCAGGAGTTCTAAAAGATACGTACTAAATGTAAGTCTCATGAGAATACTAACGCTTTTCAGGATTCACAGGAATCCTGCTGACGAATCTCAGTCAGGATGAAACATGCAACGTATCTTAATGTTTACAACTGAATACATCTGTAGCCCCCACGATGCCAGTAATCTCCCTGGTTCCCATGTTTTCATTCGAGATCACTCGGTTAATGTAAATGATATTCGAGTTTCAGTCTGATGAGGTTTAGGTTTTTGTTGACATTTATTCCTTCCTCACTCATTAATATCTCTCCATCAAATTAAAGCCTTTACAGTCAGTCTAACTAACATTTACTTTTATTGAGTAACCCTTTATTACTGAAAACTGGTGGTTTTATAAGTCAGCCGTTGCGACGAATAATCACTCAGAGAAAAAGAATCCAAAATTATCCCACTAAGTTTCCTGTGCTTAAAAAGATAAAAACATGCCAGTGACATTGAGGACGGAATTCAGATTTGCATAGGGAAACCCCAATGTGCTGACGACTATTCAGTTAAGGAATCTCCTAATTCCTAAGATTAAACTGGAGGAAAAGAATCTAGTTACAAATTCTGTCATCTAAACCACTAGAAAAGGCGTGTATACTGAAGTTTCATCAATATTTGGAACGGTAGCAGTCCTAAGACATTTTATGACATCGTAAATGAAATGTTTCGAATATCAGCTATTAAGTCTGATGAAGCTGTGAGTTATTAGCTGAGACGTTCGACCTCATATATCAAAGTCTTGATATTCTGTTACTGTCATTAGTCTCCATGCAAAATGTGTAGTTTACCAACTAATGTATCACTACATACTTAGTTTGAACTTTCATCAGTCCCACTGGCTATCCAACTAAATCTTGACTGTAATTTTTGTTGAGAGGAGGTATTCTGAACAACGTTAAACGAAGTTCACGAAACCACTTACAGTCTTGGATATTCTGATCAAGGGAGAATTCAGAAAAGTAGGACTTGTGTTTCTACCGGCAAATGACAAATTAAATTCTCAATTTTATCACAATGAGTTAATTTGTGTATGTGTGTGTGTGTGTTTACTGATCTAACGAATACAGTTGTACATTTTGATAGGAATCAGTCACTTGACTATGAATATTACCATATTACTATGTTGAAATGAAAAGGATTCCTTTCAAAAATGTTTTATTTAGCTATACTGCATTCAACCTTGGTCATAAGTACTTTCACTACTACAAACAAGTTTTTGTTCGCTAAATAGCAACAAATCTTCAAGGTCATCACTCGCTAAAGTATTAATTTATCGATGATGTCAGCGGTAGACAACACTGTTCTTCCTTAAGGCATATCCATGTGACTGTTTGCTTCAAAACCTATACTTCTTAGAGGTTATTCCCAGACAATGTGGAGTATTCTCTTATCAAAAGACTTCCGTATTTTTTGCAGCATATTTTCAAACCTCTTGCCCAAGAACTTTCTGCATGTATCTGTCTTTAAAAGGTGAAACTTTAAACGTACTCACGGCAGCTACTGAAATGGCCAGTTAGATTTTGCTACTTTAACTGTGCAAATATAGTAATCTGATTGACCGTCAAGTAGTTACTAGAGTGATCTTTAAAGCCACTCTTCGATCCGTAGTCAATAACATAAGTTCAAAACCAAACATATCGTGGAGTGACCTAAAAGGCCACCCTAACAACGTCTTAAGTATCCAATTATGCTTCCTCATTTCGATTAGAAACGTAAATTTTCTTAAAATAAAGAAGTCTACTTGGTCACTTCACTAAGATGGCTTTTAGAATCATCCTACATCGTGCCATTGTAAGTCACTCTACATAGAGTGACTTATCGCTGTTGTGTTGATTTGATTAGTGACCTTAATGGCTACCATAACAACTACCGAAATAGCCAGTTCACCTTTCGTATTTTAAGAAGAATCACCAGTTCAGTATAGATGTCTAACTGTTCACTACCGGAATTGTTAGGGTAGCTTTTAAAGTCCCTCATTAAATCAAATGACTTTAAAGATTACCTTAGTAGCTGGCGAAATAACCAACCAGGTTTCTATATTCCAACTAAAAAGGCAGTTTTTCATAGAACACAGGAAAGTAATTGATTGTCTCAGTAGATGTTGAGGTTACCTATAAGGTTACTCCATGTTTTAGGGTTTAATGCAAGCCGAACAGAAATCCTACAGTTTATTCGCACTTTCTAATCATATGACTGATTTAGTGAAGCCATGTCTGTAAACCCAATGTAATCCTTCTTAAATATATTGCATACATGTAGCAGTAGGTTTTGTCATTATAATTCTACTAACTACTTTTATGTGTACAGTCGTAACTGACATTGTAGTGCTGTACAGAAAAGTGTGTTTACGTACCCATTACCAAACTATTTGTAGCGTTAGGCTTGCGTAAGATGAAAAGCCTGGTCCACTTAAAAGCTGCTCACATAACATTTTTCGCTTTTTTATGATTAGTCTTAATATTTCCCATAACCAAAAGGGTTTTCTAATCGTATTTCCCTGTGAATATTGTCGGAAATAATTCAGGTAATAACAACATGAATAGACTGCTGAAAAAACCCTATCTACATAAGTTACTCTAAAAGTCCCTTAAATGCATCCATTAATAAGAACAAGACATACATCAACGAGGAAATAATTCTTTTCTTCCCTTATATGTATATTATTTTTACCTTGTGTTTCTGGGATGGATTCTGGGATGATAAAAACTAGTTTTTAAAGCGGTTCCACTCTTACCGAAACTCATTTCATATGAAATTGGTTTATTCTTCATGCCGAGTTTCCTTTCAATAACGCTTGCATCCGAAAAACTGGCGAAAAGGAAATATAAACTTTTCTTTCCAGCTGCAGTCTGAGAAAAGAAGCAAAAGATTAATTATTTTTACAGTTTACTTTTAACATTTGAGCTACTTATCAAAATTAAAAGTAGTAAACAATTACAAACAAAATAATTGAATCTATGCACTTGGTTATCTGTAGATATTTGGATTATGGCTGGCATTGGCTATGTATCTAAACCTGCTATTGATACAAGGTATTTACTTCAGTAAGTTTTAATGCCTGACAGGCGTAATTTCATCTTTTTGGTGGGTGTAGAACTGAATGATGGGTCTGAGCCTCATAGGAAGCTCAATTTTCAAGCATACAAATGCACTTTAGTTGAGTACCAACGTATACAAAAACAATACATATAGCATTTATTTTTACGAATCTGTAAGTGGCACACACTTTAGTGTCGTGTTAATAAGCCTAAGTATCATGCTACATTTCTTAATAGACGTCTGTCGATGTGTACTTAGTTATGCTGCTAACTACCACCTGGCATCCGATTCACATGAACTGCAATCTCAAGGATCTTCTTACTTGAACTCAGTTCATGGGGTCAGCTAATCGTATGAGAACACCGATGTAAGTAACAAGAAGTCAATCAAGATCCACATGGTGAAGGTTTATTTACGGAGAATACATCTAACTGGAATGAAATTTGTTTTGTGGTGGCAAGAAGTGAAATACAGGACATAATTTTTGTCCTATTCTGGAGTCATCACCCAACTTCACTTTCATCCCAATGGGTGATGTGGTTCCGCTTAAAAGTGAAAACCCTCACCAATCACTCCGAATGTCAAAAAATTTTCCACTAGGCTACTTAATCACAAGTCCTATATCTTTTACGATGGGTATCACCTGATGTTTATTAATACATGTAACTTTCTACTGATTATAGTACTAGACGAGATTGATCAATCTCCACTGGTATCCTTTCCATATGCCAGCAGAGATCAATCAGTTCGGTTCAATATAATAACCGTCATCATTACAAGCACCAACAAACAGAACCATAAACTGGATGTTATAAAACTATTCATTCGAAACGGAGTATATAGGTTTCATGAATAAGAGAATTTATCGGTTACATGAATTTGAAGATGTGAGTTGACTGATATTAACTCTGAGAAATGAACCCACTTTTACTCAGCTAGCAATCAGATGAAGAGACATTCTATTCCTAAGAATACGTATCTACGCCTTACTCATGAGTGGCAACACATAAAAACATTAGGTCTACTACTACTACTACTACTACGACTACGACTACGACTACGACTACTACTCACACTACTACTACCATGACGTTTTGAGTATCACCAGTCTCAAGAATTAGTAATCATATCCCAAGTTAAATAGATATAATTAGATCAACACCTTGGCTTAGACAAGATAATGTTACTTATTCTTCGGTCACCGATCAAAGTATTCAACCAGATTTCATAAATTTAGTAAGTAGTAATGTAATTTGCTTAATAATACAATACTCTAGATTGATCAGTAGGCGAAGTTTCTTGAACTAATCGATATTAAGTTCTCTACATAACTGATCCCCATTACTGATTAGTTATATGCCAGATACAATGAGGCTAATTTCAAAAATACGATAAAACCAACCCTTTTAATGTTTTCTGTTCATTAAAAAGGCTGAAAAATAGGAAAGACGTCGTTATACTTCCAGCAGACAAAAGACGCACTACAGTAGTTATGGACAGAGAAGAATACATCAGGAAAGCAGAGGAATTACTCAAAGACGAAAATGTATATCAACTACTTGAAACCAACCCTATCCAGAAGTTTGACAACCAGATCAGTAAAACATTGAACAAACTCTTCAGAGCAGAAGAAATAACAAGGCAAGACAAATGTAGGATGAAATCGAATGGACCGATCCTTCCTCGGTTCTACGGCAGACCAAAAATACACAAACCAAACATCCCTCTACGACCAATAGTCTCACTTCCAGGAACTCCAACACACGACATATCAAAAGAACTTTCGAGAAAACTGAAACACTTCGCTCAATCATGCGGACATTCCATCAAACCACCAACGGAATTCTTAGAAAAGATCAAAAACATTAACATAGAAAATGACGAATGAATGATATCCTTCCACGTCACACGTCACACATCCATCGAACCCCAATTGGCCAAGGAAACTATATCCCTCCTGCTCAATGAAGACAAAAACCTTGCAGAACACACAAAACTTAAATGTTCAAGTCTGATGGAACTCATCGACCTTTGTATGACACGATAAAACCGAACTTTATAACTGACAATCATACTTTTTTATGGCTTCAGTTATATATACTTGTATGCGCTTATTTTAGACATATTTTCAGATTTTCTTGGTGCCATTTCAAGATCTAGAGTATGTGTCTATCACTCATAAAGACTGTTCGCATATTAAAGTATAATATCCCATATGACTCTGATCTCTGACCGTATAAACGGAGAGAACACAGCCTTAAATCATCTATTGGTTACTCAATGACATTCATTCCATATTAGATAATATGGCACAGTCATACAATATTATCTACTCGATGAAGTTTCGAACATAAGTTACTGCTCATAATCATATCATGCCATGTCATTTATACACAATCTATTGTTTTACTTTACCAGCTGATGCTTTATTCTCCTCTGTTCTGGATAATTACCTAATATATATTCAGAAATTCAGTTGGCTGGCAGTCTGATCTTAAAATATTCACTTACTTTAGTTTTTGGGGTCTTTAACATTCAGTCGAAGACATGAGCTAAGTAAATATCAAGTTTAACCATACGGTAACCAAGTTTTTAGCTCACCAGTCATCGTTCCAGTACTTGCGTTCACTTTCAAGCTATTGTGTCGTACAGTAAATTATATTTGATAGTAAAGTTGGAAATTGTTTAGCACTGAACAGGTGTATTTTTCTAACTTGAGAATCACTAGTGTGATATACAGCTCATATACAAGGTGGAGAACCTAGCTCAGGACCTTGAACACTTTACCATCTGCTGGTTGGTCAGTATTTCAAATCAGTTCAAGACAGCGTAATGCTTAATTAACAGCTTGTTTGTTAAGGTACATGAAAACCTCACGTTCCTTAATTTATGTTATCAAAAATACCCAAAGGTTAAAAATCATACACTAGGTTGAAAATCCCTTTCCAATGCTTTCAAGTTCTTCATCTAATCTCAGTTTGAGTAAAAAAAAAACAATCTTTAAGATATTTCCAGTAAAAGAATGATTGAATTACTTCTGAAACAGGACTAGCCACATATTTGCTAGTACCGATACGAACTACATCTTCATCTTCCGTGATCTTATCGCTACTAGTAATCGACCACGAAAGGCAACGCCTTCTCCGAGTCCTTGATTCAGCTCTGCTTCCGGACGTAGCATTTGAGCGTAGGTATAGATTCTAGGTGTTCCATAAAGGTTAATCCATGATGGTCCAAAGTGAGGAAAATTGCCTATTCAATTAAAAATAAATAAGTTGTAAGACTAAATCACTGATTAATCAAGGTAACAGGCTATGCAGTAATTGAAAATCTTTCGACTTTTGAACCATAATCCAAGGTTTTCTCCATTAGTTTCTTATGGTAAGATGAGGAAAGTGAAAGTTTCAAAACTTGAAGTGTCTCAACTAGGGACGCAATGAATCACAATATCAAGAAATATCATTTTCTAGTGAAGTGGTGGTATCAACACCGCGGTAGTCATTTTCCTCTGTATGGACTGACAGAAGTCTTCAGGTAACAGTAGATTATTCTACCTAAGATGAATCTAACTCTCTAGACGAATGTGTATCATTTTTGGATCCTTACATCGGCTTAAGGATCTAATAGATCCAGTTAAGCAAGATAATCTAACCTACCAGATTCCATCCAATGGTCCTGAGATCAGGTAAGCACTTAGGTCAAACTAACCGATTGAGGTCAGTTAGATTACCGGAACATGGGAATTCTGCTAAATGCTGAATGGCAGACCCCAATAGGACCAATAATCTAGAGAAAATCTCGACTTTCGCAATTCATGTAATAACACGCAACCACACAATGGGCTGGGTGGGATAAAACCACTGTACTTAAGTCCGATATAGTCAGGTGGAAAGAGAAATTGATTACTAGTTCTTTGTTTATCTAATCAACACCCAACACAAGTAATCTAACATGCCGTCTAAACATGTACCCAGGAAAAAAATACTGATTAAGGAGTACTTTCATCAGAGATCTAGGTTCTCACCTATCGATTCTTACTGCTATTCTAAAGAACAATAGGATAGGCTCTAGGTACAAGCACTGAAACCAAATATTTATTGAACCAAAGTCTATGCGTTTCAAGTCTTTAAAGTTTTTGACCAGAAATTTAGCGGTAACTCTGAAGCTGTCCAACTTCACGAACACACCCGTATGTTGCGTTTCTCTAGATCTCAATAGTTCAGAAATTCAAAACACCAAATGAAACTCTTCAAGTTGAAGGGTTTCAAGTTATGAAATGCAGATTCTCATTTAGTTTTTTGCCAGAGCTGACTTGAAGAGTAACAAAAACGTTTATTATTTCGCACTGTATAATCTAAACTTTTTTCACACGGATATTTAACACTAATCGAAGACAGTCTAACTGTATGCTAACCTTATTAGTTAGTATCTGAAATACAGAAAGCAGTTAAGCATCCAACTTTACTTAACTCGGCGTCTGATAGTCATGGAACTACCTTAGCACAGCAATAGACAATGATTTATGTCAGGACGTTATTCAATAGATAGCATGACCGGAATAGCTTGGTTTTAAGGTTTTCTACTGCGCCACTTCTGACCAGTGCCAACAAGCATAAAACTAGGCGGAGCTCAGCTTCTTGTCGATCGCCTCCAACCATTTGGCATCGAATAAGACTGTTCCACTATGAAACCAATCTAATAAGAAGACTAACATGGGATTATACTCCATCCCAGCGCTGAAGTTCTACACCGATGTTAATTAGCCAGTAAACCCTTTATCACAGTGTACTGTCTTTTATATCTAAGAATAGGGTAAAATTTGACAGCATTCGGAGGATATAAGATTTTTCTGTTGAACCTATTAATAAGATGTGAATTACTGAACATGTTTCGGACCGAAATCACTACTAAGAATTGAGTAAGAGGGAGAAAAGATTTAGGGATTACGTGAACTAACACGGAATTATAGGTAGGCAGTGGTAAGCAGTGCTAGAAGAACTGATATCAATGATGAGATCTTCTTGTTTCTTTCCACTGGTCAAAATTAAAAGAGTTCAGTTCTATTTCCAAGGGACTGGTTAACACTGTTTATAAAGTTTAAAACAGGTGTCCAGTTCAAAGATAATTTAGAAAACTAACAATTGACTTACGACCAGCTACATGACACATAATATCACGTATATCAATTAGACGTGTAGCAATTAATTCTCCTTTGAGTCCACCATTTCTAACATTAATTCTAATTGACCTTGTAAATGATGGAAAATAATCACAAAATTCTATCGTTTCATTCCATATTGGATTGTAATTGTATCGTTCTGTTTTAGTTTTAGCCTAAAACAATCAGTACAATAGAAATAATAATGCATATTCAGTTGATCATTGGTTAAAGAAGCTGCACACCTGTAAATATGTATATTGGAAATGAATGAATATTCCAGTCAGTGCTCAAAATCATTAAGTTCATGTAAGGGTCAATTGTTCATCTCAAAAGGTTCATTCTCATAGCTGTTCTGAAAGTCATATTTAATGAAGACTCATTACTCAGTTCCAACTGATCTAAGACATCAGTCACACCCTCCCTACGATATTATATTTATTATTTATTTATTTCATTTTATTTACCAATAGTATTACCTTGATACCACTTTCTTTACTCCATCATTGTTGATTTCAGTAGAATTGTTTCACTTTTCGTACCTGTTCTGTTACTTTATAGATTGTTGCGCAATCACCTTCTAATGACCTTGTGTTGACTTTCTAGCCTCAATCACTTGTGTCTCTGTTGAAAATTTTCGGCGATCTATTTTTAAGGTAGCATTCATCACAGACTGACATTATTGAATCACTGGAAATCTGGGAACACTGGACAGCTATTTCTTCCTATTACAGAACTCTTCAGCAGTTCGCATCTACAACACCTCCAGGGATCGAACTAAGGACCTTCGGGTCTTATGACAAACGTCACTGATAGGCATACATTTCTGTTGTAAAGATTACTACGAATAATCAGCTTCTAAAAATTATTTGTCGAAAAAGAAAGTTTTGTTCATTGGATTTTCATTCATTTTTTCTTCAGGGTTATATTCCTGCAGTGCATGCAAGTAACGAATTCTCTGTCTCCTTATTTGGCTAAAATATATTCGGAAATATAGGTCCTTTCACACAGTTTTTTGCCTTCATGTACATTTGAATGAGATAAGAACAAAGGCTGTGGGAGAGTAGTATAGTAGCCTTTGATTTCAGTGATTCTCATCAGCTGCTGGTGACTTAAAACGACTTATTACATGAATTAAAAAGATATTTTACACAATTTCACTTCATTTGGTAAAGGGTGCTTCTAACCGAGATTGGATAATAAATTGTTTAGAAGTATCCAGGTGACGGTGGCCACTCACAGAAAAACAAAAGTAACAACACAAAACTATGCCAGTCCCACAAGAAATGGCTATCGTGTCTAAGTATCCTAGTGGATAAGGCTATGACGTTTGAAGAGACTGGCCCCTGCTCCGAGTCCTGTCAGAAAAGCCGCTCACTAAGAGACAGGTACATCTAGCTGACGAGTCACAAACGGAAAGAAACACGTGTCTTGGATTCCGCTGCTAGCCACTGCTCATCATTAATATAAGTGCATAGAGATAGAAAAAAGATAGAGTGAATGGCGAAATGGTTAACAAAAAGCCTATATCTTCGAGTATTAATATCAAAGGTGATGAAAGTGATGAAAAAATATACTACAGAATAATTACTGTGCTAAAAGCGAATTATTCAGACAAAAACGTTTATTCTTTGAATCAAATCAACTGTTGGCTGATACACCTGTAGGTCAACCAGTTCCTGTTTTATGTGTTTGGTTCCCTTCATGAACTTGAATAATGCAATGACAATATCGTCAGCAATGTAGTAACATCATTTTATTCCACAGGAATCTCATCAGCTGCTTACAACCTATACAGAGAGCTTTAAGATACCAGTTAGGGCTTTGAAATTCAGAAAAAACAATAGGATTCAGACCACAAGCGAGATTTAGGTAATAAATTCAGTTTAACTATATCTCTATATTATAAAAGGCAAAGTGAGGAACTTTCACCAATGAGTGACGTAAGACTAACTCCATCCGTATTTACCGCTTCAGATGTACATGTGGAAACAAGTAATGCAGGACGAATGGAGAATTGGTTGTCCACAAGGATTGTTGAAGATATCCCAAAGAGTCTGCCCCTAAGAGGTCCACCTTCATTCAGTGGTGCAATAGCTTGTCGCTCATATGATACCGGACATGAAATAAATGTGATGAAATCCTTTGCAGTAGTCAACAAACAAAAGACCTCGCACCTATTTTAAATTGCTAAAACCATCAGAATGCGACAAGTTCAACAGGAGCTGTGTACTCAGAAGGAGATAGTTATCGATTAACTATTGCCCTGGTAATTAGTGATATTTCAACCTCTCATCTTTTCCAAAAATATTTTTAATACGTTTATTTTGTGCTTATTAATACCGAAATTTATGATGATAACGATAGTTTTGTCTCAGTCACTCGTAATTTTATTCCGCTGACGTTTCACATGATTACGCAATCTCTTCTACTTATCTCTAATTGTATCTCACTTATTCATGAACAATCCTCTTTCACCGTGTTTTATATGGCACGTATCTTATTCAACTTAATTTCACTTCCTCTTTCATTTTACCTTCAAATCTGTCTACCAGTTTACATGTGGATAACAAACTACGTACAGAAAGAACACAGCGAACTGCAACTGACTGCTCAAAACTATACACTCTCTTTTAGTAGTTCGATCCTCTATCACATACTTCATACTGGTCATGAGATGTTTAAACATGATTCAAAATAGTGAATAGGCAAGTGAATCCTACTGTGTTTTGTTTAGTGAACGGGATAGCCATCAAATAGCTTAAATATCACTCCTTTACTAACATGTTTTACGTAACATTTTCAGCTTAACCATTCATCATGGGCTGACACCAACTAGAGGGACATTGGAAACCTGGGAGCACTGGAAAGCCGTCTCGTCCTAGTATGGGACTTCTCAGCGGTGCGCGTCCACGACCCCATCCCACCAAGGATCGAACCCATGACATTCAGGTCCATGGCCAACATGTTACCACTGAGCCACTGGGTCAGAATCCAATGGTCCATATTCCCAACTTTTGTCAGTTCACGATATGGCGTGACCTACACCTAATGTCGTCCTCATTTCCAATTGGGTTGACTCCACTGGTGATGAATTTTCGTTGGAACTTCGCAAATCACCTCCCGAAGGTAGTCAACAGTAAGTGCTAGATTATTTCTATCTCAAGGTTTTGGGGAGATTTATTAATTAGTTTTAGGTTGGGATTCCTCCAACTGACCTCAGTCCATGATGAATTCCAACTTAAACCTTGCCTATTTCTTGTTTTCTTCACTGACTTGTTTCAGCCACAGTTTGGAACTCTTAGGGAATAATCAGCCTTTTAGTGACGCCTTGTAACGGTTATTCAGTACTAACGTTTCTGATTGTATTATATGACTTACCCCATCAAAACTCTCCATGTCAAATCAAGTAGAAGTCCATAAAAATTGTTTTAAATTTATGTCATAAACAGCCAAAATAAAGTGACGTTTATTATTCTGAGGCGATTTTCTTCTGCCTTCATTTAAGCATACACTTTATCTCGCTGTAATACCTTCCAAGTCTACATGCCAACTTATATGACGAAAAGTAATTCAGTAGGTTTTGCAATACTTAAAGTTTCAAAAACCTCTGAGCTTCTCAGATTGCATGATCAGAGCTATTTTTTTAGAATATTGGAAGTATTTTATATAAACTATGATTAAGATTTGATCGTATAGTATGGCAAATAATGGGCGCTGAGTAAAAGGTTGACATTAGATATAGATTGTATTTGTATAAGCCACAGTGGGTTTGAAATCAAATAATTCCGACGTTTTGCACGGAAGTCTGGTCCGAACTTCTTTATTTTTCTGAAGAAGCTCGGACCAGACTTCTGTGCGAAACGTCGGAATTATTTGATTTCAAACCCACTGTGACTTACACAAATACAATCTATATCTAAGGTCATACTGAAAGTATGTTTTGAATAATTTCCGGTTGAAGAACCAGCCTAATAAACTTTCATTCATAATAAATGATGCATGCGGTAGTCTGCTTGAACTCTTAGTTACCTTTTTTTTTATCACCGGATATATTGTATTAGATTTCTCATTTCTATATTGTTTTAATCGTCCATTTATGTCAACTTCAACTTTTGTCTCTCTCTCCTCTTGTGTTTCGCTTATTTGCTTGAATATCTGATTTCCCCAGTCCGGATTGTCTTTGTGTTCTATCGCGAAGGACAAATGAGTTTATGAGTGACCTATCTGAAACCCGATTGTCCGCTTCACTCTATATTGTCAATGTCACCAGCACATAAATTTGATCAGTGGCTGTTGAAATCATTGAGCCCAATCAAAAGACAATATTGTAAGTATACCGTTAAAGATTCATTTGAGTCAGTTGACTGTCTTAATGGTAATAATCGTAGAAACAAAACTCTGCATTCTTCTGTTGGTAATGCCCTACTCACCAATGTTCCCTGGGTCAAAACAATTGGCATTTTGTACAATTACATCTCCACCAATAGTTTTTCAATCTCATTCCATCTACACTACTTAAAACACATTATTTTTATGGACTATACAATGTAAAGTTTACATTTGACGGTGAATATTTTCATCAGACTGATGGTGTTGTCGTGTGAAGCCTCTTGGGTCCCCTTTTAGCGGATGCTTATAGGTCACATGCTGACAAATTATCTGAGAATTTATTTGAGAAAGTTCCATACTGAACTATTTCAGTTCTTAATTGAATGAACAAAGTAAAAATATAGGAGGGAACAATAATTGCCTATCTTTCTTAGATGTACTGGTAAGTGAACGACATCATGGATCAATAAAAAGATCTATTCCATACATTTAGATCCCTTGGTAAATTTGGATAAAGTAAAAAGGACAAAATTCGCAGGATATAATGTTGTCGTTATTTCGTTTTATGAATACTCATCAGCTGCACACAATGGTTATTAGGGCGTAAAATCTCTCAAAATTAGGAAATTAATAATCCTAAGTTACTGGGCAACATAATTCATAATCCACATAAGATGTAAAGAATTTGTTGTACACAAGTGAGAAATATAAGAAAGGAAAACTCAGTGGATAAATAGTTTTGTAATTAAAATGAAACAGGACCACATCATATTCATCAAGTGAGTGACAGGTTAACCACACTATCCTTCAGTATACAAAGGTCAGGTTGAAGGCATTTTATTGG